GAAATGGACCACTGTCCTCAGGAAATTCTATTTCCAGAGGTTTTTTTCAGAGTCCTCACGTCCATTGACAGTTGAAGATAGACCCCCTTGCTTCAGAGCTATTTAGCTGTTGGTTGGTTTTACTGATGAGTGGGATGTGTCTGTTAATCTTTAAGCAATGTTTTTTTTTTTTATTATTTAAGGCGCAGGAAAGCTTCAGAAGTTTATTTCTTGTTTCAACTCTCTGCAGTTTTCACTCCTAAATCAAAGATGTGGAAAGCTGTCCTTCCTTTTTTTGCTGCTCTTTTTGTTGGATTGTCTTGTATGCCTGGGGGCATCTTTAAGATAGAAGATGCAGATAATAATGAGGGGTTCCAGAGAGCACTGAAGTTTGCTGTTGCCCAACACAACAACAGGACCAATGACACAGCCATCCGCCAGGTCACTAAGGTGGTCTCAGCTGGTTCTCAGGTTGGTAACATTATAAATAGTTTACTGGTATATAATCAATTTAGTGGGTAAATTTCCTATTATAAATTAATTAATTTTGACCAATTAGCAATGTGTAGTCCATGTAAATAACAAAATATAACCTGAAGTTCTGCTGCTGGTGTGTTTTTAAGTATTCTGGATTTCTTTGCTTCTCCTTAAAGGTGGTATCTGGGATGAAATACATCATGACTGTGAATTTAGCAAGAACCAATTGTGAAAAGGGGGGATCAGAAGAAAACTGTGCCGTCCACAAAGAGCCAGAACATGCTCAGGTAAAAGAGAGTAAAAGACTGACTGTAAATCTGATATTTCAACATTTTATAATGTTGAAATGTATCCAGTTTTTAGAACTACTAAGGAATAATGTTTTTTCTCAATAAATGAGCATAGAGTCTCTGTCTTACATAAGTGTATTGTGGGCATCTTCTTTTTTTTTTCAGCCTTACCAGTGCCATTTTGATGTGTGGAGTCAGCCATGGCTCAACAATACCCAGCTGACCAAAGAGGAGTGCTCCACTCTTGAAAGCGATTGACCTTATTACAGTTTCCTTGCTGTAAAAATAAAAAAGCAAAATGTTAAAATTAAGGTATTTGATGATAAAAGACGTTTTTCAATAAATTTTAAATCCCCTGAATGTGTTTGTGACATGTTTCAAAGTTTGTTGCCGATCTAGTTGTGTGTTTACTTGCCGTTTACGGTAATTGTTTTGGTGCAATTATAATCCAAATAGTTACAGCATCTTATAAATATAAATAATAATGCTTAAGCTGGGAAATGCTTTGTTAATAGGCAAATTTGAATTATTGTAAATGTTTGGTGGGGTTTTTTTCTAGGTCAAAATAAAGAACCTCATAATGGTGAGCGGAAAGAAAATCTTCTTAATTAAATGTGAGAAGAGTGCTTATTTAGCACCTTTTGATCTGACAGATTTAAACTGATTCTAGTTTATATCAGACAGGACCCACGTTGGAAACGTGTTAAAGGGTCCACATTTGCTGTGTGCATCTCTTCTTAGCTTTTCTAGCCCCATAACTAATCTAACAATATAAAAAGAAACCCTCTAAATTGATGACTCTCAATCAAAACTAGACTTTGACAGATTCATCTGAATAACACAAAGACATACAGGGATTACAGAGATCAATGCTGAGGCTCTTGCTACACAGTAAAGGGGTTGCAGCAAAATAAAACAAGAAATTCTGAATTGCAATAGTAATTTACCACACCTCTGCAAAGAGCTATGCATTACATACCTCACATGTTGTCAGAATGTGTCACCATTTTGTTGTATACCTGGTTTTATGTTTTATGCAAAACATAATCTAAGTGTTCCTGCATCATTCTAATCAACCCGATTCCAGACCGTTCCATTATCAATCCTACGAAGAAACAACTGCCTCAGAAGTTGCCTCTATATGCTGCCTAATATTTTCCTATGTTGACCGCCTAACTGCAGCCCTTACAAACTTTAGGGCACTAATCCTTAAACATACATCAGCCAGGATGATTATTCTTATCCATATCCTAACACATGGTGAACACAAGAAAGAAGGTATGAACATAAACGGCCAAAACTGTTTTTTGGTGCATTTCATTCCTATAAATTTTAATTATTTTCAATTTGTGGGGATTTTATATTTAACTACAGTTATTAACAAGATAAATGGGATGACTTGTATTTATCACTGAACTATCTGGCATGGAAAATGTTGTAGGGGAAAACTTACATAATGACGGCATCATTGCTATAGTGAGTTATGAGGATGGCAGAACCATGTTGTTGGGATTTTCGTTCGTTTGCTTGTTTGACATGACAACAACCTGAAATGAAATTTTATAGAACCATAGTCGTGCACCTAAATGACCCAGTTAAAAGTCCAGATAAACATTGAGTTAATCAATTGTTCCACGTTTACCATGCTGTGACCTTTGGGTTATTGATAGCATTTTAGGGAATTCTTTGTCAAAACACTCATTGGAAATCATCAGCATTTTCCAAAAATCTGTCATATCTCTAAAAAATGAGTACAATAAAGGAATTGTTTGTACTCATTATTGGACATTGCTGAAATCATACTTTAGCTTTGTGAATAACTTCTCTCTGTTTGATACCAATGTGCCCATGTGATGGATAAGTGGACGGTGACCTGAAAATGTGTCATGCCTTTGACCCTTTTTACCATTTTGTTTCTTTAAAGCTACAAACCTTGTGGTTTATTATGGTGATTTTATGTAGGCCATGACCACACAGTGCATCATTGAAAAGTGAAAGGAAACAAATATTATTCTGATTCTGTATAAATCAAAATCTGAAAAGTGAGTTGTTCCTTTTTTTTAGTCTTTCTAAGTCAATATCATTTACCACAAAACTATTATACCTATTAACCTTTTTCTGTTTTTAGCTATGTCATTCTCTGCACAGCAAATTTAGATTTGTTTTTTTTTTTTATAAAATCTCTGCGAGTGAAAAACAACTCAAGTTTAGTACATTTTATTCTAGCAATGAGTAAACTGTTGTTGTTTTTTTTAAATTTGGTTGAGCTTTAACCCCTTTAACTAAAATTGGTTCAAGATAAACTAAATGAACTTTTCCTCTCCACTGTCACTACATTCATGCTTGGGGTGAAGGATTGCTGTCAAGTCAATTAGTCCATGCTGGTTTCCTTAGAAAACTGAACAAATCTGACCTAATGATCTGGTGGAAGTCTCTCTTTAAAGTGCCCAGACATGACACATGTTTTGAATAGGTATTATATAAAGAAACTGAATTGAGAGTTAATAAAAAAAATACTGTGAGATTTCAGGAAGGAGGGACGATAGAGAGACCAGGAGGGAAGGAGGCCACTGAAGATGCAACAGCTAAAGAAAGGAGTGAAGATGAGAAAATTATGTTAGTATGTTAAATGACAAGCTTTCAGAGTCAGAGAGGAAACAGAAGAAAATGCAGAGGAAACTGACAAGACGCCACAGAATTAGGGGATCCAGCCTTCCAACTGGACTACCTGAAAGTGGCAGAAAACAGACTGGCAGAAAGAAAATAGGCCACAAATAGCGGATTTACTTTAGCCCCCGCTTTGGTTTTGATGATTTCATTTACGAACATGAAGCGTTTTATAAATGCATATCTTGTTAGTTTCAGGGCCGGCTATTTAGCGCCCTCTGGCGGTAATCTACCTAAACTACTGCTCGCAAATGAGTTGTATTTGTTAACAAATTTGTGAATTAAAAAAAAACACGGAGGGTCTCGTTTAAGTGCTAATTGTCAAATATGATTATGATATTAATATGCACTGCGTGTTTATTCTTTTTCATTATTTTACGTACATTTTTATTTTATATTCAAGTTGTATAGTATGTTGCAATGGAGTCTGTGAAAATCGAAATTCAATTAAAGGTTATACAACAATACTGATAATATACCATTTTTAATAATATTGATGTTTAAATTTGATCGAGTCGAATAATGGTTCACAGTTTGATACTTAAAAGAATTGCAAATTGTCCAACATTCCAGATGGTTAAAAGAGAGGCTGGATCCGGATGGTGATTTATTTGCACAGATTCTAAAGCTGCAATAGAAAGCATTCATTCAGGAGGGAATAATAGGAAATATGTTGTATTAGAAATCAGAGTTTCTTTAGGTTATTTAGGTATGGAATAGATGTTCAGTTCCGGTGGGTTCCAGCACAAGATATATATATATATATATATATATATATATATATATATATATATATATATATATATATATATATATATATATATATATATATATATATATATATATATATATATATATATATAGACCAGATTCCATTTGGGAAAGGTGAAGGTAAATCAATAATTAAAAAGATTGAAACAGAATTTAGGGTTCAAAAATCTGTAATTGTTAAAAGTTAAGGAGAAAGAAGCAGAAGGGAAGATAATATAATTTATACTAGATTAAGAACTGGACACGCCTACTTGACTGAGGTTTTGTTTGTACTAGGGAAGATAAATAATGATATGTATGAGGGCTGAGAAAAAAAATTTTTGGATTATGTTTTGATGGATTGCATTAAATATGCAACTGAAAGAGAGAGGATGAGTAATGTAATTATGGAAAAAGGGAGAGAATGAAGTATTAAAGGAATTTTAGGGACAGATGACAGGGAGGAAATTTTGGTTATTATTAAAGCATTGTTTTTATTTTTACATAACACAAAAATAAAAAATAGAATATAGTAGGTGGAACTATAGAGCTACACACTCATGTACAGTAGGTGGCGGTATGCACATATGAGTTGTTTGCAATCCGCCAATCTGACTTCAATTTATTTATTTTTTGTTTGTTTGTTTGTTTGTTTTTAAGCATATGCACTGATCGATGGCACATTTTAAATTTCGTTGTTCTTGTGACAATGACAATAAAGATAAGTTGAAATTGAAATAAATAGAAATTGACAAAGAGGAAGAAGAAGAGAGGCGGGATTTGTGTCGCAGACAGACAGCCGATAGGCTGCGCGCGCTGTGCGCACTTCCTGTTATGAGTAAATCCTCTTTATAAAACAGCTAAGCCTCTCTGTTGTGCTACGCCGAGTCATACGCAGCCGGAAATAAGTAGAGAAATAGTGTTAATTCACTGTGCTTTCTTCCTTGGTATCGCACTAAAAGATGGCGTGGAAAATGGTGTTGTGTTTCCTTTCAGCTCTTTTTGCTGTGGAGGCCAGTATGTTAGTTGGTGGGTTTAGAGACATAGACGTCAAAGACGAAGGTGTTCAAAATGCGCTGAACTTCGCTGTTGTCCAACACAACAGAGGAACCAACGACATGTACCTTCATCAAGTGGCTGAAGTGGTCAAGGCTCAGGTTCAGGTTGGTTAAATTTAAATTAATATGTGTATGCTTACTGCATACAACCTGTACATAGGAACAGAAAACAGTGAGGCAAAAGTGAAACTTCCAAAGGGCAGCCTGCTGATTTGTTGACGTATGTTCTAACTTGATTTGTGTTAATCTGCTTTTAAGGTGGTTGCAGGGATGAAGTACATCCTAACTGTGAAGATGGAAAAGACTGCCTGCAGAAAGAACGTGGCTATTGAGCAATGTGACACCCAAAGCAGGCCAAGTAATGCCCAGGTAAAAAAAAAAATGCATTGTCAATCAGATCACATTTGCATGTGATCTGATTTGGAAATGTATCTGAACCAAGCCAAAATGATTGTATTACTCATGACCCTGACTGTATTTTGATTTTTCAGCCTTACCAGTGCACCTTCACTGTGTGGAGCCGCCCATGGATGAATGATATCAGGCTGCTGGAGGAGAAATGCTAGAAAGGGGTCTTCTTAGCACCATTAGCACAACCAGCTTCAGTTAACATTTTGATGCGTTTTTCTTTAAGATGAACTAATGTAACCATTTCTGTCTAATTCTTTACCTTATATATCGCTAACCTCTTGTTGAACTCCAGGTTTTTCAAATCTCACTATAGCTTCTTTATGGGAAAAGGCAATAAAGTAACAAAACACTTAGCTGCTCATTAACTTGTAAAGCTTGCACAGTTTAAAAATAAATGTGTTTTTGAACTTTTATATTTGTCTCCATGTGATTATTACGTAATGTTTGTTTAGTTTGGACTGTACAGGTTGTGATGGACAATAAAGAGGTTTCAATGTTATTCATTTCATGTAAGGTCTTCAAATTGTTCTGATTCAAAGTTCCTCTTGACCTTTTGTTGAAAACGTCCATTCAAATAACTCTTCTGCTTCCCAAATTGCTGAGTATTTCTCTAAATATCCAAATACTTTATAAATCACTGGAAAAATAAAATGTTAAGAGTTTACAGTAATCGAGGATGGAGTTGTATACTATACATTATTAGTAACCAGATTCTACTATGATTTAACTTGTGATGGCAGAGATTCATCTGCTCTTAACCAACATATACTCTTCACAGCATTCACCCACCAGACTGAACCATTTGGAGGATAAATCAAGACTTCATCCTGTTTATGCCAAACTCTGAATCTGACATTAAGAGTATATGGAGCAAGAAACTGTTTGCAGTGATATTTTCCAGTGTGCTCTTCTGCCTCTGTAGCCCATCCGCTTCAATATGTTTCTGACATCAGTAACGTTCACACAGCTTGTGCTCAATATATATTTATATTCAATGCTACTTTTTGAGTAGGAATCCCAGTAGATTAGTAATCTCTGAAATATTCAGGACAGATTGTCAACCATGCCACATTCTGGTGACCAGTTCAGTAGGCTGCCCTAAATACATCCAGATGCCACAACATATTGAGTTGTTGCTATGTGACTGATTTGTGTTAAAACCATTGAACAACAACATACCTCAAGTTTATTTATTGACAGTGGTTCTTTTTGTTTTTAACAAATAGCTTTGCTTTGAAAAGTGGCAGACTTTTTTTTTTTACAAATAGAATAATGTATGAAGAAGAGCAAACTTATGACTGTAGATATAAAGTTCTTATATTTGCTTATAGGACAATCAGAATAAAAGGATGGTTATCGGCTTGTGGTTCAATGATAAACTCATGAATCATCGAATACTTGTGGATTTGTTCCTGAAGAGGTTGATATGTGAGGTGTCTCGGTTACGTGTGTAACAGTGCATAGTTGTGAAAATGTTTGAGATGTTTAATCGGTGATAAGCACAGTCTTTCAAAAGTGTTTTATCAAATTATAGCAAAAAACTTTGAGGCAACAATGAAACATGAGTCTGTTCTGCAACTGGTGGACTGCCAGTTCCAACCCCAGCTTCATCTGTCTCAGTTGTGTCCTTAGGCAAAACAAGCCTTCCACTTCATTGATTACTGATGCTGATCAGAGGGCCTGGCAGTGCCTGTGTTTGGCAGCAGCGCTTCTGTCAACTTTACCATACAATTTGTGTCCTTTGTTAGTTGATAAACTACAAATTATAGTTAAATAATTGCAAATTCTGAAGACCAAGACACACACTAAAGTGATAACTTTGGGAGAAATTAAAATAAGAGTAATGTTTTATCCTGAGTAATCACAGTTCCTAAAATAGTCAGAAAAGGGATTCTTCTGACCATTTTCTCCCAGCCCTAAAAAACAATGTATCAATAATCCTGACAGCTTACATCTCATTAACCAAGAGGAACTAATGGGGCTGTTAAATCTCTATTTGTGAACATATTTCTTATGTTTTTGAATTCATCTGAAGAGAAATACGTTATATTTGTATTACTCAAATTTAACAGCAAATCCTTGCAACTAAATGTTTTCAGCTCATTTGACAAGATTCCCAGCTAAACAATTGTTTATGAGACAAATTGAATATGTCATGGACTCCACAGATGAGGCATTTCGTGGGTGAACTGGCATGAATGCCCGTTTGATAAAGTGATTCTGATTTCCTGTAGGGAGCGCTGCAAACATATGTATAAAGGTTTGTATCAAGGAATGAAACCAAACTTAATCTTTTGGTCTATATAGGGCACATAACAAGACAGAGAAGTAGGTGCTGTTGTCCCCAGACACCAAAATCAACCCATATGTCAGAAAATACTAAAGCAGACAAATTTACACCTGATATTCCGATCTCCCCCTTCCTATATCATTCCAAAAGGTTAAAAAAGTAAAAAAAGAAAAAAACACTGGACTTTGTTTTCCAAGTTCAAGGAGTCTGGATTTGCGTTAAGTCCCAAGCTTTATTGAGTAGAGTAATGGCTTAGAAAACATGAACCGAAAAAACAGGTTCACCCTTAGTAATGGGAGTTGTTGAGGTTGTTGTTTGCCTGCAATACCTGATAGTGGCCCATGCCTCTGAAAAGAGAGTCATTAGTGTCATTGTTGGACTGGCTTACCAGGTGAGATGTTTTGGTCCCCTGCATAGCGATGGAGGGAAGGAATCAACTCTATCGCTGTGTTGTAGGTTTTTGAGAGCTGGCACCTGAGTCCTCCCCCTCTGTTTAAGGTTGGTTTATCTCTCTTAACATAAATGGCTTCCTTTACCCCCCTTTCAAATCACCTGTCTTCTTTGTCCAAAATGTGAACATTCAGGTCCTCAAATGAGTGCCCTTGGTCCTTAAGGTGTAGGTGGACAGCAGAGTCTCCTTTCTATTATAAATAGTGGTGAAATACAGTGCTGGCAGTAACATGCTGTGGGAAAGCTTTTCTGCAACTGAGACACGGAAGCTGGGAAGTTGGTGGAAGTTAATCAGGACATGAATGAAGCTAAGCAGCAGGGAATCGTGGGAGAAAACACATTAGAGAGAGACCTGAGACTGGAGCAGATGTTCATCTTCCAGGTGGAGAATTATAGCATCAAATACAGCTGGAGTGTGAACAGAATTGCAAGGTGACAGCCATGTGTTAGAGTTTCTCACAGTCTGGATCAAATTTAAAATGAGACAATTACAGACACCCTCACCTGGACTGTAAACATCACCTCACTGGTCAAAAGGGCACAAAAGCACTTGTATGAGGATGAGGAGAGCCCACCTGCCCCCACCCATCCTCACCACCTTCTACAGAAGCACCATAGGAAGCCTTCTGACCAGCTGTCTCACTGCGTGGTGTGGAGACTGCAGCGCCTCAGACTGGAAGAAGGTAAGAAGAATAGTAAGAACTGCTTAATCTCTTTGCAGGTGATGAAGCAGACTGAATATGTTTTATCTCCACTTTCTTTAATCTTTTCTACTATTTTTTCTCTTTTTCCTTTCAAGCGGAACACTATGGTGATAGCCGTACTGCTCCTCTTGTGAAAGCAAAATCTGTTGAACTCTTTTTTGGCATCAAGACAATTATTCTTATTGCCACATCGCCAGACAGGACACTGTTGAAAAAAAAAAAACAAAAACAAAAAAAAAACAGCAGAGAAGATAATCGGGGCTCCTCTTCCTTCCATAAAAAAATGTCATCCCAGTGCTGCGTGAAAAAACACTAAATCATGTCACAGTCTCTGCATCAAACTGATCATATCAGTATGTCTTTTTGCATTATGTTTCTTTTTCTCCAAATTTTTACATTTTGATCACTGCTGCACTTTAAGAAATGGAAATGTCATGAGAGCTGTACAAAAAAATATATCCTTTTGTATACACTCTGTGTATACAAAATGACAATAAAGTTTGTCATTTTGAAGCAGGCCCTAAATAAATCCAAAGCTTTTATTTTCTTAAGACTAGGCAGGAAGTTGTTTAAGCTCCACCACATTGGACAAATGAACCGACTGTCAATGATTCATAAGTTCCTGCTGTTTTTTGAACCAGTGATCACCTGAAAAACATATGTGGGATCTGGAAATTAGGAAGAAATGAAGGTGTTAAACAAAGAAGAGCTTCAGATGGCTGAAGGAGTCCTGCTCAACCACTTCCCGCGGAGCTTTAAGGTACTTTGTTTTGCATACCATTACTTAACGCCACCTTTATGCTTTAAAACGACTCTAACAACAACAACAACAAAAAACAACAGCTAAAACAGAACTGATTTTTTTATGATTTTTTTTCCTAGGTCTATGGTTTCCTCTACGGGATTAACAGAAACAAGCCGAGCACTTTAGAGGTTGTTGTTGATTCCTGGCCAGATTTTAAAGTGATCCTCCTGCGCCCTGATCCCAAGGTGCGTTACTTTAGTAACTAACAGGGGGGGTTCTAGAGAGGGGCCAACGGGGGCCCCTGTTAACCCTGTTATGGCCCCTGTACTGAAGACATAACAATCAAAGAAATTCTAATGATGATATGCGCTGGAACAGACATGGTTACTGATAGGTCCTTTGGATTTATTCCCTTTTTTTTTTGCTTTACAAATTCTGTTTTACAAATTATTTAAAAACAATAAGGCGATATCTTCAGTGGTAGTGATATGATTTCAAGTTTTCATCTGCTAATTTTTTTTTTTTTTTCAAAACAAATTGCTCAATTTTATACAGCTGAATTTATCAGTTTTTCTTGAGTGCTAATTCATAATTAATTTATCATTAGTTTATAATAAAAAAAAACTATAATTTTAACTTAAATTAAGTCAAAAGCATGTTAAATTCCTAAATTATGAATGAATATTGACCTAATCAGACATTACATTTTAATTAAACCTAACTGAATAGAAATTTCACATCATGCAGCTATCTTAAAATATTTTAATACCTTGCCCTGTTTTTTATTTCATGCTTTTCTGTGCCCCCATGAAAACACGCTGGCCCACTCCTGGCCCTCTTGTACGTTTGGTCTAGAACCGCCACTGCTTTAGTTTATAGGTGGAACTGTAAGAAAATGGGAAATACATTCTAAATGATTTCAACTTTTAAAAAAACTATAGGATCAATAGAACCAAAGTCCAAATAAACAGTTTTGTCATGTATTTATGAGGTACGCGTGTTTATTATTATTATTTGTAGTAGTAGTAGTATTACAATGCAAAATTATGTATTTTAAAATATATTCTAGTATATTACTTTTTTAAATACGTATGGCAATATTTTAATACAAAAATACACATTTATTGTATACAGGAATAAATATATGCATGTATTTTCAAACTTAAATTCATCATATCTTCAATTCTAAATGTTATAAAGTTATTTTACTCCTACTACTCATAAATAACACTCCAAGGCAATCTTCTTATCTATAATATTTTGAGTCCTGCCTGCTGACTGTGATTGGACGTCTTGAAAAGATTAATAAATTCACAATGTAAAATAGGATTATAAGAGAACATTTGTATAATTCTAAACTTTTAACATATATTTAATTTACATTTAACTAATTATATTCCCAATTTGTTCTTTATTTCATAATATAATAAAACATTAAAATAATTACAGATATGTTTGTTTATTAGCTGTAAAAAAAAATTCTTGACTAAGTATTTATGGAGGTGTTTACATTTTGGCCCTTTTCTGTAGAACAAACATTCCCAGGATTTTACGAAAAAGGTTTCCTTCTACAGCAGAGATGAGGAAGTTTTAAGGAAAATGCTGAGAGAAGAAGTGGACTGGAGTGCTTACTTCCTAATTGGAGGTAAGTTTTGTAAAAATTAAGCAAATGTTATTATTTCAGGTCATTTTAGTTTGGTGAGCTTTTAATACACGATGTATTATGACAGTAGGATAATTCAACCAAGGGCACTTACAGTAGAATAGTACAGGGATCAAAATGTATTGCATAATGAAATTAATGCATCCTAAATAAAATAAACCTATTTTTGTGATCGAAATATATCAAAATGATCAAGGTAAAAACTAATTCGAATTGAGAGGAGGTCTTTCATTTTCAACTGGTTCCACAATTGGTTCTCAATTTAATTCAAGCTGGATTTTAGATTAATCTTTTAAGAAAACACATAAATGGTTTAATAAAACCACTTCATTTAAGGTACACCAGACTTTTTTGTCATCTAAATGGTTTTCTTAAAGGGTTTCCCAGCTTTTAGCTCCATCCATCTCCCCCGTAAATTAAGACTAATTTCTCTGTCCCTGCAGAATAAAAGCCTCCCAACTGCATGATGCTGCCACCCCCATGTTCCACCCTAGGGAAGTTTTGATGGGGGTGATGTGCAGATTTTTTTCTGATTAAAAGTTAATTATATGATTGGACTAGAAGACTTTCTTTCACATGTTTTTTGTGTCCCACTGCATGTTTTATGTTGAACTGCAACCAGATACTTAATCATTAAAAACATGTAGGTCATAGAAGGTCAAAAATATGAAAGCAACAATAGAAAAAGTAGACTATTTAATAAGCATAAATTCCCTACTTTAGAAAACAATGCTGTAGAGTTGTTGGTTTTGGTACATTGAAAAAACAGAGAAGTGAGAAACCTAAAAAGGTGAGTTAAGGAAACATAAAACCAGATTTTTTAGGTGTGTAACTCATAGTTGTCCTGTGGACAGATAATTTTATCTGAGCTGTAAAGCTCTGCATCTTCTCAATGTTTTTTGCCCATGATAACTATTGTTTCTGTTTCAGATCAAACCAAAGTAGGCAGCCTTAGGAGCTTTTAATATATGATGCATTCTAAAAAGAGCAAAATGATTAAAAAGCTGAAAAAATTAATTAGAAATAATTGGAAATTTAAATATGTATCATACTGTTTTTAGTAATTTTCTCTATGCTCTATTGCTATTTTGATTTAAAACAAATCGAGAAAAAAAACACATTTAAAGTATTTTTTTTTATTTTTAGGTTTTGATTTTTCTCATTCACTTACTATCAAAGAAGTTTCCTCTGAAAAGAAAGTGAACAACAGAGGCTTTACATCAGTGCACCTTCTTTATCTTTCTGACCTCAGCTGTCTTCTCACACCAGATATTGACAGGTATGTATCAAAAAACTTTTCATTCATTAGTCAATTTATCAAATAAGATTATTTTTTATAATTTCTCTTTTTTTAAACAGCCAACTCAAAACAAGGATTTCATCTCTCAATCTCTCCCACGTTGACAAGGTGAATAAAACCTGGAAGTTTGGCGGGGATGAGAAAGGTTACAGGAACATTAAAAACCTGATTAGCAATTTCCCAACCTGCTGCATTATGGACACTCAGGGTGAGCCAGTGGCTTGGATCTTGGTGTATGATTACTGCGCTTTGGGTATGTTATACACACTTCCGGAACACAGAGGAAAAGGTTATGCCAAGGTTTTGATCAGCACCATGGCCAAGAAGCTCCATGCAGAGGGCTTTCCAGTTTACTGCTTCATAGAGGAAGACAACCTGGTGTCCTACAAGCTCTTCCAAAACATGGGCTTCACTGAGGATGATTCATACAGGGCACTCTGGTTTGAGTTGAACTTTTGATCTGGGAAATGAAAGAAGCAGCAGTTTTTTGACTCCTCTGGGTCAAAATGTCATTAAACTTGAAGAGAAAATTTTATAATTGTAGTTGCTGTTTTACAAATTCATACCTTGAAAGAATGATTTGCATTTGCAGTTACTTACATACAAGTTAAATCAAATCAACTTTTTAAGCTGTTTTTTTTATTTCAATAAATGTTTTTTACTCAAAACTCAGTAAATGAATTAAAATAAGGACAACAGCCACCTTTCAGGCATATCCTTTTTGATTTTTGTGCAATATTCAACAAGCACTTATATTACTTTTTGTAATTATTTAAAATTACATAATGTTTAGTTAAATAATTAAGTAATGTCTTCAGAGTCTTGTTATAGTAAAGAAATTGCATGCACTATGAATATGAATATCTATTATTTTGAAATAATCTGAAAATATATCTATATATATATATATATTTAGTATCACTATCAAAGACACTACATGCTACATTTTTAAGAGTGTCTTCTAAGGATGTGAGTATACTGCAAGTGTTTTTAATCTCTGTCTGCATAATAAATCTGTATTCTAAGCCAGTCCTCACTGTGAAATGTTATTGTGTTTTCTTATTACAATAAAGATCCTTGATTCCATGTACATACTACATTTTTTATCTAGCTGTATATAGCTGTGTATATATTTATCTTTTAAGGGTAAGTTTTTAGTCATGTTTTTCTTCTAAGAATGTTTTTTTTGTTTTCTAAAATCCTTTAAATGTTTTTTTCTGAATACAATGTGTCTTTTAAACCAGAAATCTGTTAATTTTTTTTAACTTTTTTTCAGTCAGAATTCTGACTTTTTTCTCAGAATTCTGACTTTATTCTCAGAATACTGACTTTAATCTCAGAATTCCGTCTTTTTTCTCAGAATTCTGACTTTAATCTCAGTTTACTGACTTTGATCTCAGAATTCTGACTTTTTTCTCAGATTTCTAACTTTAATCTCAGAATATTTACTTTAATCTCATAATTCTGACTTTTTTCCTCATAATTCTGACTTTAATCTCAGAATACTGACTTTAATCTCAAAATTCTGACTTTAATCTCAGAATTCTGACTTTTTTCTCAAAATTCTGACTTTAATCTCAGAATTCTTACTTTTTCTCAGAATTCTGACTTTAATCTCAGAATACTGACTTTTTCCTCAGAATTTTGACTTTAATCTCAGAATACTGACTTTAATCTTAGAATACTAACTTTAATCTAAAAATTCTGACTTTTTTTCTCAGAATTCTGACTTTAATCTTAGAATACTAACTTTAATCTCAAAATTCTGACTTTTTTTTTTAGAATTCTGACTTTAATCTCAGAATTATGAATTTTTTCTCAAAATTTCTGACTTTAATCTCAGAATTCTGACTTTTTTCCCATATTAAACTGAAATAAAATTTAAGAATCAGTTAACTTTTTTATCTTTTTCAGTGGCCCCAATCCTCACTTTATAGCTAACATTATCTTTATATATATATATATATATATATATATATATATATATATATATATATATATATATATATATATATATATATATATATATCTTTACCATAAATCTAAATCTTCTCCTATTGAAATTCTTATTGTGTTGTATTAAGAATTAAGTTTTCCATGCTATATTATTGTTTCATAACTTTCATGTTTCCATTTCTGCCTGGAAATAATTTCTCTCGAAAGTGCGAACAGAGGCGAAAAAAAGCCCCGCCCATTTTCCCTGGAGAGACGCTTTTCCTTCACATCCAGCATTTATCATGGAGCTGAATGAAGAACAACAGAAAGCTGCAGAGTTTGAACTGCGTCGCTGTCTGCCTCGATCATTAAAGGTCCGTTTGCTACAATTATGGTCACCACGTGGATTTATTTAACGAACATGCCTACACTTTGCAACCCACCTATTTCTGTTACCAGTCTTTGGATTAAAGCTGTGCGCCTTATTTTATTTCAACAGATTTATGGTTTCTTGGTCCTCAGAAACAGAGTGAAATCAGATCCATACGTTGTTTTAGTGGACAGATGGCCAGGGTTCAGTGTAATTATCTGCAAACCCAAGTATGAACAGGTAATAATAGTTTGAATAACTCCATGCAGACATTATTTCTGTGTTCCAGGACATAAAGTTCTGCACATCTGCCTTTGTTTCAGAAAAGTGATCTATTCAAAGACACAATGGTTTTTGCAAAGGATGAAGTCCTTCTCATGGAAACGATAAGGAAAACCTCTGTAATTGACTGGAGCAGGTATCTTTGTCTTGGTAAGAACGTATTTATCTTTATGGTTTAAACTAAATCCTCCAGTTTGTGATCCGATTAACTCATTTTACTCCACGACTTCAAGTTAAAATGTTGCTTTAGACTTTATTGAGTCCAAAGTCCCCTTTCAGTTATTCACAGATATGAAGACAGCATCTGCATGGATCACAAAGTCTTTATGCAGTACTACACCTTAACTGTAAGAAACTTATTTTCTTATCAGTCTTCAAGAAGCCTTTTCATATTTACATTGTTAAAATGCTCCACTTGTACATAGTATAGAAACAGTGCACCTGCAGGGACTGATGATTTAAATGAATCAACTGTGCTGTATTAAAAAAAAAACAGAACCAGATGCTTCTTCCTTATTTCTCCTAATTTGCACAAATTCTCTTTTTCTGTTTTATTGACAAGCAATAAAGTCAGAGTAAAAATATGCTTCCTTATTTATAATAGAGTGCCTTGCAAAATTATTCATACCCTATCACATATTATAATCCTTAGGAAAACGGCTTATTGTTGGACCTGTCTCCACCAGCTCTGTATATCTCGAAACAAATATCTGACCAATATTTGATTTCTTATGGCAATTAACGGCCCTTCAATTTTTCCCTGACCTGTCTGAATTCACACATCTCTCTAACAAACCAAGGTCTTTGCAGTGCAATACACCCAGATGGGCTCTGTTAACTGATTAGATTACTAAAGATAGCAATTGCACTTTAAGTATCCAGCATCATGTACAAATTCACACCTCAATCTTCATCTTATTCATAAAATACCCTGCATGTGTTCTTTTTGTACTTTTTTCTGTCAATATAATATTCCAGTAAAAACCATTGACATTTGTGTTTGAAAGGTGACAAACCATGCAATCCACTGCAGACAGATGTTATATTAATCTTATTTATGGAAAAAATGCACACCAGGTTTTACTCGAGCTGTGATTGCTTGTGTTATAGGGATCAGTCTTCCACACATGGAAATCATTAAAACAGCTGCATCAGAAAGGAATGTTCCCAGCTACAAACTGTCCATTTGTCACATGATGATCCTGGACGATGCATCCAAGCTACCCGCTATAGACTGGTACAACCAACTTTACAAAACACAAAAACAATGTATATAAAGTTATTAAAATAATGTCTTATTAACATAACAGAAACCTCTCTGAAATGTTTTTCTGTCTTTTGTGCATCAGCTCAGGGATCAGCATCGACTCCCTGGATGAATCCCACATCGACTTGGTGAATCAGACATGGAAGTTTTCAAAGAACCAAGAGGCTGTTAGGATGATCCGCAACATGGTTACAAACTTCCCGTCCTGCTGTGTGATGGATGCCGAAGGAAAGCCTGTGTCCTGGATGTTGACCTATGTGTCCTGTGCCCTTGGAATGCTGTATACTTTGCCGGAGCACAGAGGGAAAGGCTACGCTAAAGTCCTGATTAGCAGCATGGCTAAGAAACTCATTGGTCAGGGATACCCGGTGTTCTGCTTCATAGAGGAGGAGAACAAAGTCTCCTACAAGCTCTTCAAAAGCATGGGCTTCTCAGAGGACCCCTCCTATAGAGAAGCGTGGTTTGGATTCAATCATTTATAAATGCTTCCATACAAGAACATCAACTTATATATTAGTTGAAACATTAAAAAAAAAATCATAATTACAAGGTGTGAGCACGTTATTTGCATTTGTTTCAAAAACAATAAGAGCTGAGAATAAATAGAAAAAACATTTCTAATTTTTTAGTTTCTATTTCAGGCTTCAGTTATCAAGCTGGAACTTTGTCAGTGCAGATCTCTTGACACGTCTCACTTTTCAGGAGATGGACTTGATGAAGCACTTGATCTGAAAAAGAAAATGTGTATATATTACACTAGAAAAAATGAGATAAAGGAAAAACTATTACTTAATTATGAATTTATCGCTCAGCGTTTGGACTTAATGCCTTTTACAGTAGAATGATCAGACTTTTTTCCTCCCAGGAACCAAGAGGTGGACATTGAACAACAATCAATAAATTCAAAACCAAAGATTAGAGCAGATAATCCCTATCAAAGACACCTTTAATCCCTGTATTAGACCTCAAAGCATTAGTACAATCAAAGATGCTCAAAGCTTTTGTGGCTACTCTTTCCTTTTTTTTATGCCCTTATGGTGCCCCAATAGCTTCATATTAAATATCCATTGGTGAGACAACAGGCTGGTCAGTGGTGCAGTGAGTAGCACTACTGCCTAGGTTCGATTCCCAGCCCGGGGTCTTTCTGCATGTAGTTTGCATGCGTGGGTTCTCTCCAGATTCTCCAGCTTCCTCCCACAGTCCAAAAACATGACTTAATTTAAGTTAATTGGCTTATCTAAATTCTCCTTAGATATGAGTGTGTGCGTGAATGATTGTTTGTCTCCGTCTTGCCCTGTGAAGGACTGGTGACCTGTCAAGGGTGTACCCCACCTCTCGCCCATAGACAGCTGGAGATAGGCACCAGCACCCCTGGTGAACCCGCTTGGGATAAGCATGACAGAAAGTGGACGGATGGATGGATAGTCAGACAACAGATGGGCAAAAAAAAAAATTATTTTTACAATAAATATTTTGGTTTAGACTAAGAAATTACCTTTATTTTCAATATATTTCTTCATGTGTCTTTAAACTAAATGGCCACCTGACATTTCCCGGTAAGCCTTCTGTCTAACCTTTAGACATCCCCTGTTTGTAATAGAACAGCACTTTGTCCTTTACTAGAACATTTCACAAGGTTCTTATTGAGACAATGTGATCTTTGACCAATACTGTGTTGATTCTCTATAGAATATGAGTCAACCATTCTCACCCAACAGGATTTGTTTAGGATTTAATCCTGTGGTCTAAAATAGCTATGAAACAGGGTTCACTCTGTATATAGTCGAACATTTCTATGTTGGTTTGGTCACATGTTTTGGATCCTTTTCCTGCTCAAATATCCCTGGATCATCACTTTGCAGTGGTGTTCAGAAAAACAAAGTCATCAATATTAGTATTAAATATGCCAGAAAAACTATGCAAACAGTGCCATAGGTCGTTCCCACATATTTGTCCTTGATTCTTGTTCCTGACAAACAGGAACAAGACTCTGGTGTAAAAACAGCTTTAAACTGATTCAGCAAGGACACCGATGGCTTTTAAAAGTGTTTCTTTGAAAGAAAAACAGGGCCACAGCATCACAGATTGCTCCCATGCATGAATAGACATGAGGTTCCTCTTTAATATTCCCTCTAATTTTTCATATGCCCAGGCATACACACAAGCCCCTGAGTACTCTGCTCACTGTGAGAACATCTGATATGCACGCTGTATCCACACACCAATAATAAATTTGTTATAAACCCATGATCATAACAAGTTGCACTGTTAATTAAAAGAATATGTGATTACAGCAGCAGTTTGAATTGGTTTACTTTTAATTTAAGTGATTTGGCACAATTAAAATGAAAGAAACAAAATTGTTGCGCTTTTTCCACATGTCATCCTCACTTCTCCAATGGTTGTCCAAATATGCTACTTCATGACAATTTCTGGATGCTGTAGATATTCATTAAACTAAATATTCTTTCACATTCAGCACTGGATGATTGAAATGTAGCACAAATATCCACAAGTAGTGAGATCTCCTTGAAGTCCTCACATCAAGCTCAGCAGCCACTAGAATGTACTGATTTACCACTGTTTACTTTTTTGCTTCATTATGTACTTGAATTTAGCTGAACAAAAGTGACATGGAGCAGATGCATCTTAAACGGATATCAGGGCTGTTACAAATTGGTGAGAGTTTCATTGTTCTGGCCTCCACATATTCTACTTCCTGTTGGGTTCTTTATTTAGGTGCATTTAGCTCTTTTAAGCACTGAATAATGACATTTACTGATCTTTTCTTAAGGGACACTCATATCTTTTTAAACATGTTCATCCAAATACAACTCTTAAATGTATTAAAATGTATTAATAAAGCTCATTTGATAGTGATATTTGAAACTGGCATGGAAGATTAGATCATGTGCCAGAACAGCTGATTTTAGTAAAGCTGGCTGGCACATGCAGCATGACCTGAGGTCATTTGTGATCATGATTATAAAGACAAGATGATCTAAGACCTCATAAACAGGTAGTTGTTTTTCATATTTTCATTGTTGGTTTTAAGTTAAAAATGATACATAAAAAATCTTATTGGCCTAATTGATTTACAGCTTGTTTTGAATTTTATTTTTTGTGCTACATGGATTTTCTTATGCACTGAAAATGTGCTAGCAGTGCACAATTGTGCAAGCGTGCAACGACATTTGTTCTGTTTTTCGCCACACTAAACATGTTTGATGCTGAAAAAGATCAGCTAAATCCCATAAAACCTTATCAGTTTTAAGTGCATTTTCTACTAGGATTTAGCAAATTCAACACCAGTTTGATAGTGATTGTAGGAAAAAATAAAAAACATTTTTTCCCCCTGGCATCACACCCAAACTACATATATTTAAAGTTCATCAGGGCTCCAAATTAGGACACACTTTGTTAATAATAATTGTGAAAAGAGCAGAATAGAAGTGGAAAACTGAATTTAAAATATTCTACCTGGGTTACATAAAGACATAAATTTGTAAGAACTGTGAAGTGTAGAAAAGATAAAAAAATTTTAACGGAACAAGAGAAATGCTCACTTTGTCATCGTGACAGTATTTTTTATGTAATTCCTCAGGGTCTGTCTGGTAGTTTGTCACTTTTCTGGTCTGTTCTCTAATAGTGAGCCATGGAGATTGCAAAATGGCGCCATGGATGACATCCATTGTGCTTCCCTTTCTTGCTTTTTATGAGATTTAAAATGTCTTCATTGAGAGAAAACTGAAACCAAAAGCAAATTTATGGTTCAGTGCACTAAGGTGAGAATTAACGCACATTCTGTATCTGCTTTAACTTTCACCAGTGAGATTAATTTAAAAAGGGATTGCAGGGAATATCCAAAATTGTGTAACCAGATTTTTAAATCTATTTTATTTCTCGAAATGGGATTTATGGAAACAGGCTCAAATTAGAAGTAATTTTTATTTCTTATTTAAATGTCACATTGAAGCGGTGTGCACATTCACATTCAATTCAGCTTGCCTCTTTAAGAATATGCACGCTGATCAGACTGTCAATCAGCCTAAACCTCCCTTCTCATTTCGATCCTGCCGCATCGGTAATCAGTTTTCTGACCGATATGTTAACATCACACATTTTTAGTCTGATCAACCATTTATTCTGGCAAAGAAAATGTTAAAAAAAAAATAATAATAAAAAAAAAAAAATAAATAAATAAAAATCATTGCTACCTGGGTTCACTGAAATCTTCAAGACGTAATAACCATGTTTTCCAGTACTCTGACATCAGCTCTGCGTTTACCTGGTGAGCATGAGCCGGTGTGCCATCTTTGTAGGCAACAACTATAAGCCCATTTTCAACCTGCAGTGACAAGAAAATAAAAACTGTTTTTTTTTTTTTTAAAGGACTCACAATTCAGAGAAAATAATGGGTATTTTACTACATCGATCACCTGGTATTTGTAGTTGTCATCACTGTTCAGAGCCCCAGCATATGCTGCTATTTGAAGAGGGTTGTCATAGGTGTTGCTGAGGAATGGTTTGGGTTTTTCCGAAGTTTTCCAATCTATAACACACAACACACCCCTGTGGAAAGGAGAATATTATGAGAGACATGAAGGTTAGACGAAAAAGTGAAAAAGTCAGTTTCAGAAGAGTTTTACTTGTAGCGAGCAACACAGTCCACAATTCCCAAGTAATTCAGGGCACTGTGCTGCGCAGTGCTTTCAATGGCCCTCACTGCTCTTACGTCCTCTAATACGTGAGAGATGCTTTGGACGTATCCTTGTACTTCAGGAGGAAACTCTGATGTCTCCAAGAGATTCCCACTTTTCCATCTTTCGGCAGAGGTCAGAATGCCCTCCAGAGCCGCATGGAAATCTTTCCCTTGTTTGAAAAGATCTGGGAAAAAGACATGAAATTAGTTTCCAGTGCATTACACTCATTTGATTAGTAGTATTATTATTAAAGGATACACTGGTGACTAGGGCAGTATAACCATCGTTTCATAAGATTTTAGTGTTTATCTAATTATTAAATGCTTTCTAGATATAATGCTTTTAGCAGTAGCTGGGTTTCAGCTAGTGATGGATCCAGCTAGACTAATGCATCTGCGCATGAGTCATGCTCTTAAAGTGAGCATTGTTTCATGACAATGTGTCATGTGTCAAACACAGGGGCCGTTTCCAACCTACGCACTAAACTATGTTTATAAGCTGAGCTCATCTGACAATGAGATCCATCTAGCTAAACAAATCTCTGATCTTTTGCGGTTTATTATCAAATCGGTCAGGAAATATAGAGCAGCTTCAATGCAAATGAAAAGTTTCAGGCGTGAGGGACTATGTTTATCTTATATTTGTTTTACGTTTTTTGTTATGTCCAGGGGCGGAGCTAGTTGGGGGGGCAGGGGTGGCCATAGCCACCCTTAGCCAATCAATGTCAACCCCAACCATTTTTTTTTTACCTCTAATACAGATGGTGGCAGCAGTAATACTCTCAAGTAGAATATTGATTTTCATTTTTCATGTATTACTTACTATTTTTTCATGTATTCATAACTTCTTGACAACAAAAACACTGTGGTTAATTATGCACATCAATATAGTAACATTAAAGATGATAAGTACAGAATTCATGCTCTTTTCAGAACTAAATTTGTGTTATATGAGGTCAGGAGAAGATCGTGTGCCTCTGCAAGTCATCTAGGAGTCTTTTATAAATTACTATTTTAATAAAAACATATTAAATAATCAATTTATGTAAATATTAGTACTTGTAAATATCAATATTATGCAGAATGTTGATAAAAGTAGGTAAGTAATGAAAAATGAAAAGATTCTCCCCAAAACTCAAACCTGAAAGAATTTTATTCACTATACCTTTTATCCAAAAAGCACGGATGTTTAAATATATGCTTTTAACAGTTAGAAAAGGCTTTAGGAAAGTATAGTCTTTGGCATGACCGGTCAATGTACATTGGTTATTGCCTGGCCACCCTTATAAAAACTTTCTGGCTACGCCTCTGGTTATGTCATCCGGTTCCTCTTAGTTATCACTCTAGTTATCTGGATTTAAATTAAATTCAAACTGACTATAAGTTTACCGTATTTACTGTATTTAAATTTTTTTTTTTTTTTATTCTAGTCCACAAGCACCCAAGGTCATCAAAGTATCAACACAGTATTAATACAGTTTGGCAATAAAAAATGTGTCTGGATGCCTCATTAACCATCACTAGTGTCAGATTAGAAAAACAATGTTAATGTATTATTCTCTGGTCATGTTTTTTTTTTTTTTTTTTTGGCCAAAAATATTTCAAAACACATGCATTTCTCTTTCTACCATAGAACAAGTGTTTGGATCTCTGTCCACCCATTAAAAGAACCTTACTCTGGCTGTATGCCTTGAAGCCTTCCTCCCCAAGCTCAGCGATCATCCTCCTCTTCCATCTCTCCAGGTAGAAGCTCTGCTCTGAAGAAAGGGTCTGCTGAAGAATGCGAGTCACACTCGGGACAAACGGTCTCCCCTGTCCCCGATTTAACATAATCCGGGTTGGTGGTCCGGTCTCTGGATCCTCAGTTTCTAGAGCTCGTTCAGAGTTTAAGAGAGAATAGAGTATTTTCGGTACCCTGGGTTCATTCCGTGAAGGCATCTGCGCTTTGACAACCGGTCCATACATCTGATCGTCTTCAGCCTGAAGGCTTTCTGGGGTCTGAGAGCTGACCCGGGAGGACATGACGGATTTTACAAGAGAGGAATAGCGCTCACTGTCCACAGAGCTGTAGGGACTGTTTTTCCTGGGGGATGTGAGGCGGTGAACAACGGAGAATTGACACACAGTGAGGGAGGTGCGTTCAGGGACCATGACGCCTCCACAGAACAAAACGCGGCTCAAAACGAACATTCTTGCGGTTTCAACACAACGGAAGCACAGAACGATGAAACGCGTAACTGGTAGTTTCGCGTTTTAAAGCAAAGTTTAGCACTGTTTTGTTTTGGGCACTTGTCTCGACATGTTCCAGCTACCGCCCATGTAAACAGTCGCGTTTCTAAACGACGCGCCTGAAGCTGGAACTGAAACTGGTAGACGGGAAGTGAAGTTTCTGGAGTGGCTTCATGACAGCAAAGAGATACAGAAATAAACTACATTACCCAACTTGGAAGGGTGTAACCTTGAAACACGTCCCACTAGATGAATGGAGACCCGTGACTTCGTTCCTCAGCATAGATACTTATTGTCAAATTATAGCCTGCTTATTAAAGGAATAGTACACCCAAAACATGATTAGCCTTCATTTTCTACTCACCTCCATGCTGAACAACACTCTGGAGTACTTTTTTGATATCTCAAATGCATCTGGAGATCTGGGAGGCTTCTTGCTGTCTGCTGACATTCAAATAATGGAGGTCCATGGCGCCCGAGACAGAAAGGTCCATAAAAGTCCACAAAAACGTGTCAATATTCCTCCATACTGCTCGTCCAATGTAATCCAAGTGTCCTGAGTGGGTAGCATCCAGAATTTACTCGAAAAGAAGTAATTTAGAATGTTTTTAGAGCATAAACAGTAGTGTATAGGATTTCCTAATAGCGCCCCCATGCGCGCTCACGATTCTACGGAAGCCGGCAGACCAAACCGGAAGGAAGTGCGCATTCAGCGTCTGGTCTGCCGATAATGCAAGCGTAGAAGAAGAAATGTGCTGTTTACCTGTGCAAAGAAAGAAACAACGAAAGAAAAATGTCTGAGGACTTCAGTGTTGAGGAAGAGCATGAGTTCTTTGCCGAGCTGAATGCGCTGGTTTGGTCTGCCGGCTTCCGTAGAATCGTGAGCGCGCATGGGGGCGCTATTAGGAAATCCTATACACTACTGTTTAGGCTCTAAAACGTTCTAAATGACTTCGTTTCGAGTAAATTCTGGATGCTACCCACTCAGGACACTTGGATTACATTGGACGAGCAGTATGGAGGAATATTGACAAGTTTTTGTGGACTTTTGTGGACCTTTCTGTCTCGGGCGCCATAGACCTCCATTATTTGAATGTCAGCAGACAGCAAGAAGTCTCCCAGATCTCCAGATGCATTTGAGATATCAAAAAAGTACTCCAGAGTGTTGTTCAGCATGGAGGTGAGTAGAAAATGAAGGCTAATCATGTTTTGGGTGTACTATTCCTTTAATATAATAATTAATAATAATAATAATAATAATAATAATAATAATAATAATAATAATAATAATAATAATAATAATAATTATTATTATTATTTTACTTTTTTGCCTTTATCTAACCAGATAGAACTCATTAAAATCAAGATCTGTCTTAATTTGTGTCTTAAAGTGTTTCACAAGGGTAACTCAAACAAGAAAGTTAAACAAAGTTTCAAAACATAAATTGTGAACCCTTTGACAATTTAAAATGGTTAAGTTATATTTACAGCAAAAACATAAATATAATAATTTTATATAATTTAATATATGAAACACGGGCACTTTTGATAAAAGAGAGCAGAACTTTTTACAAAAATAAACATTGATATTTATGATTGAATATTCTTGATTAATATTTAATATGACATTTTATGCAAGTTCCAATAACTATGATAATTTAGATAAACTAATGATAACTTGGAGAAATTCTGAAATCCATTAAAGCACCAATTCTGATATATGTATTTAAAATGTATTTATTTTGTAGCTCGAAAATATATACTTTGATTCACCCATAAGGTAATTGAACTGTAGAATGGAAATGTTGGCAGTATAGCTTTCACAAACAAGTTTTAAATGTGATTTTTAAATGTGTGTATAGTTATTTGGATGTTTTTTTTTTATGCAGTATCCATCAGATTAATCTTTTAATTATTTAGTTATTTGTGATTTATTTCAATGTAAAGCTTTTGCAAGAGTTTTATCATAAAAAAGAACACTTACAAAAACTATGTCGGTGTCTACAGGTGTAATGTTTACACGCTTCCTTGAGAAATTATGCTCTATGCATTTTTCTAGGTCATTATCGTTACTGGTTTAAGAAAGTTTTCAAATTTTTATGTGGATAAAAAAAACGTTGTATTGACCATGGATTTGATTGATTAAAATTCATCCAATAGCGTCGTTAGTGAAACAATTTCTGACCAATCACATCGAAGTAAGGTGGGGTTTAAATCTTCATCATCGGGATTGGGGCGGAGCAACAGTTTGACAGCCTGTTAGATAGCTAACAGCCACCGAAAAGACGGCTTCCTGCATCTAGTTTGATTTAGTTTGACCTTCTATTTTCCTGGGGGTTTCTTTGTTTTGTTAATTAGCTTGCTATCATGACGTCCATAGATGACAGTAACAAGGAAAAGGTACAGTAACTCCGTATTGCTGTGTAATTTGAGACTGTGTTACGCTTCTTTTTAGCAAAGTTGTTGACTGGTTTCTGTTAGCCTTTGGCTAAAATTGCTCAACGGTATATCGATAGCCTGATCAATGAGTTACATTTAAAAAAAGTGATGTCTATAAGTTTTAATGATCGTTTGCTTTTGAGTTCTCGCTGAATTAAGGTGTTGGAGTTGAAAAGTTACCTCTTCTTTTTTTCTTGTTATCACCGATTAGCGGTAAAGTAGCGAGAATCAAACGCTATTTTTTTTTTTAACTATTAATTCAAAAAAAGTAATCTGTGTAGGACAGGTCATACTGTAGGCTAATCTCTTTCTTCATTAATCTGTTACATATCTTCTAACTTGAGTTTTATCGGAAAGGTTTAACTGTTTTCCTCAGAAATAAATGGTAAGAGTAAGCTACAGGAGAAGTTATTTTGTATTCTTTTGGGAAAAAAAGTTAAATCAAACACTTAATGTTAATCATTTGTGTAAGGTTTTCTAATGATTAAGGAGTTGACTTGATTTCAGCAGTGTTTGCACAAAATGGGTGTGGGGCCTAGCTTCTAAGCTCCTCCAGGCTCTTCCTGCATACTACAAGGATGAAGTACAGGTGCTGGTCATAAAATTAGAATATCATGAAAAAGTAGATTGATTTCAGTAATTCCATTTAAAAAGTGAAACTTGTATATTATATTCATACATTACATACAAACTCATATATTTCAGATGTTTATTTTGTTTAATTTTGATGATTACAAATGACAACAAATGAAAATCTCAAATTCATCATATCAGAAAATTAGAATATTACTGAAGACCAATAAAAACAAAGGATTTATAGAAATGTTGGCCAACTGAAAAGTATGAACATGAAAAGTATGAGCATGTACAGCACTCAGTATTTAGTTGGGCCTCCTTTGGCCTGTATTACTGCAGCAATGCGGCGTGGCATGGAGTCGATCAGTCTGTGGCACTGCTCAGGTGTTATGATAGCCCAGGTTGCTCTAATAGTGGCTTTTAGCTCTTCTGAATTGTTGGGTCTGGTGTATTGCATCTTCTTCTTCACAATACCCCATAGATTTTCTATGGGGTTAAGGTCAGGAGAGTTTGCTGGCCAATTAAGAACAGGGACACCATGGTCCTTCAACCAGGTACTGGTAGCTTTGGCACTGTGTGCAGGTGCCAAGTCCTGTTGGAAAATGAAATCTGCATCTCCAAAAAGTTGGTCAGCTGCAGGAAGCATGAAGTGCTCTAAAACTTCCTGGTATGTGGCTGCGTTGACCCTGGACCTCAGAAAACACAATGGACCAACACCAGCAGATGACATGGCACCCCAAACCATCACTGACTGTGGAAACTTTACACTGGACTTCAAGCAACGTGGATGAAGTGCCTCTCTTCTTTTCCTCCAGACTCTGGGACCTTGATTTCCAAAGGAAATGCAAAATTTACTTTCATCAGAGAACATGACTTTGGACCACTCACCAGCAGTCCAGTCCTGTTTCTCTTTAGCCCAGGCAAGACGCTTCTGACGCTGTCTGTGGTTCAAGAGTGGCTTGACACAAGGAATGCGACAGCAGAAACCCATGTCTTTCATACGTCTGTGTGTGGTGGTTCTTGAAGCACTCACTCCAGCTGCAGTCCACTCTTTGTGAATCTCCCCCACATTTTTGAATGGGTTTTGTTTCACAATTCTCTCCAGGGTGCGGTTATCTCTCTTGCTTGTACACTTTTTTCGACCACATCTTTTCCTTCCCTTCGCTTCTCTATTAATGTGCTTGGACACTGAGCTCTGTGAACAGCCAGCCTCTTTAGCGATGACCTTTTGTGTCTTGCCCTCCTTGTGCAAGGTGTCGATGGTCGTCTTTTGGACAACTGTCAAGTCAGCAGTCTTCCCCATGATTGTGTAGCCTATAGAACTAGACTGAAAGACCATTTAAAGGCTTTTGCAGGTGGTTTGAGTTAATTAGCTGATTAGAGTGTGGCACCAGGGGCCATCAATTTTGAACCTTTTCACAATATTCTAATTTTCTGATATGATGAATTTGAGATTTTCATTTGTTGTCATTTGTAATAATCAAAATTAAACAAAATAAACATCTGAAATATATGAGTTTGTATGTAATGTATGAATATAATATACAAGTTTCACTTTTTAAATGGAATTACTGAAATCAATCTACTTTTTCATGATATTCTAATTTTATGACCAGCACCTGTATTATAAATGTTACACTTTAATTCAACTCTTATGGTCGTAGCTGGACTAGTGAAGGGTCTGGAAATCCTCTTCAGAAATTAAACTATAACATGTCTTACTCTAAATGAGATTAGAAATAATAATCCTACCATACAGTAGATGTAAGCTGCTATTATTGTTGCTTTTATTGCCTTTGTAGCCTTGTTTAGTTTGCTTATGCTCATATACTATACATGGTGTGATAGATTATTTAGTGGGTCTGAAGACTCAGAGTCTTTTGAACCAGTAGGTTGTTGTTCTCTGGTTTATATTCTGTTTTGGGATTTAACTTCTAAAGCAAGAGTGGAATGGGACGGTGGGAAAAGGCTTTAGGTTTGCAACACTAGTCTCTGTAAACAGTAATCCACTGAGCATTTTGTCTATTGTTTGGCTTTTAAACACAGCTGACTGAGGATTTGGAGGGATGCATTAACTAAATAATGCGCTACTGATACTTTCATATTTGAAATTTACAAATGCATCTCAACAAATGCAAATAGTGAGAAGGCTTGAATTAAGTTTTCATGAAGTCAAATTTGAGTTTCTTAGAGATGTAGAACTAGTCCAGTCTGAAGGCAACTTTCTAATTCAGAAATGTAATTCTCTATGTAAGTTTTAGGAAAACTTGATAGTTGTGCACCAGACATTTGTTGGCTCTCTGCAATGATGGTAAGACACAAAAGGTCATGGCCAACGTAGCTGACTGTTCAGAGCGTTTAATAAAGGGTTGAGTGGAAGGAAAACAGCACTGAAGGATTCAATGGGGATAACGTAGCCCTAAGAAGAGTTTGAAACGCATGTTCTTGAAGTGTGAAATTCATTATTTGAAGCAACACGTGAAATAAATGAATAAATAAAATAAAAAAAAGTAAAAAAATTATACCTAATGATTAAAAGAACTGGGCTGTTTATTTGTTGTCCAAAGTCCTCCGCTTAAAAGGAAAGTAAATTTAGGATTCCATTTAAAAACAAAGGCCCTAGTGGCACAGAACTTCAGTTTTTTTCGTGTTTAGTGGGAAGATTTTCCGCCCACCAGACCCATTAATGAAGACAAGCTAGGGGTGCCATTAAAGCAGCTTGGGGTTCCTTAACACCACAGCAGAGGCAGATGCTAATCGTCTCCCTGATACTCTTTATGGTGCACAAAATTCTGCAACCAAATATTACCTACTTATTACATACTTACTTTTCAGCAGTTGGATATTTCTCTATGAAAATATATTTCTATCAGTTCTTCATTTTCCTCCAAACTGAATTGCGGGTATCTGTTGTAAGCAATAATCATCAAAACTAACAGAAATTAACCTGTTAATATTAGACACATTTGTGTGCTTTGGATGTTAATGTGTCTCAGACTACTAAGTTATGTTCATTTTTCATCAGCTGCGCTCTGTGTCTGTGGACTTGAACAATGATGCCTCGCTTGTCATTGATATTCCTGATGCTCTATGTGAAAGGGATAAAGTCAAGTTCACAGTCCATACAAAGGTAAAAAAAAGGAAATGCCAATAAAAAAAAAAATCTGATTTCCATAAATGTCCCCTTTTGACATTATTTTCTAACGCTGAACATTATCTATTTTCCCAGACGACCTTGAGCTCCTTCCAGAAACCAGAATCCTCTGTTCCCCGGCAGCATGAAGATTTTATCTGGCTGCATGACACTCTGGTTGAAACCGAGGACTATGCTGGTCTAATCGTGAGTTTGACTGACAGAGATAAAAGCTACTCCATAATGTTTTCCTGCATGTACTACAAAATATGCAAATCTTTTGCATGAAAATTATGAAAGATTTAGGGTTATTTTTTTAATCCACTTTAAACCTTTTTATGCTCTTATTTCTCAATTATTTCTAGATCCCTCCAGCTCCCCCGAAGCCAGATTTTGAGAGCCCAAGGGAGAAGATGCACAAACTGGGGGAAGGCGAAGCCACAATGACTAAAGAGGAGTACACTAAAATGAAGCAAGAGCTGGAGGCGTGAGTTTACCATTCAACACAAGATTAAAAAATATCAATTCTTTTAATGACATGTAGCCAAAAGGCATGAACACATATTTTTGCTATTTATCTTCCAGTGAATATCTGGCTGTATTTAAGAAAACCGTTCAAGTGCACGAAGTCTTCTTGCAGAGATTGTCTTCGCACCCCGTTTTAAGCAAGGACAGAAACTTCCAGATTTTCTTGCAGTATGACCAGGATGTGAGTTTCTCTTAATGCTGACTTCCTTTTCCGAGCTGTCAGTTGGGAAGAAAGGAAGATGAGTTTAGTAGAGGCTTGTGACACATGCATCCTGCTGTGATCAGCAGTTAGACGTATCTCTATTTGCTAGCAGAACTCAGCCACTTTATATACTGAAATGAAGAGAGCCGTAAGATAATAGAACATATGCTACTGAGAAATATATCTGTGTCAAGATGACTCTCTCCTACACACCAGAGCATTATCTGAATTTATTGTTCCAAGATTTTATCACATGTTTATCAAATATAGACTCCTTTTTAGTCCTTTCTGGATTCTCTTATTTTAGCTCAGCGTGAGGAGAAAAAATGCCAAGGAAATGTTTGGAGGATTCTTCAAAAACATGGTGAAGTCTGCCGACGAGGTCCTCATCTCAGGAATTAAGGTGGAGCTTGGTTCACGATCATCTGCTCATAATGTTGATCACAGCGTAACAGTTGTGGCGTTATAGTAACTTCCTCATTTAACATTTTATGTTTTTGTTTCCTGAACAGGAAGTGGATGACTTTTTTGAGCAGGAGAAAACATTTTTGCTTGACTACTACAGCAAAATAAAAGATTCCACTGCCAAAGCTGAGAAAATGACACGTTCACACAAAAGTATTTCAACATATTAACATTTAATCTACATTTGAGATGTTATTCTTGCTCAATTCTAACTGTAATATCCATGTTGCAGATATCGCAGATGATTACATTCACATTTCTGCCACTTTGAACAGCATCTGCGCTGAGGACAGTACACCAAATAAGAAGTGAGGTTAAAACACATATGCCTAATAATAATAGATTTGTATTGCTATTGCTCAGATTCTTATCTCTTCACTTCAGGAACATGGAGAAGCTGTCAGACTTGTTTGAGAAGCTCAGAGTAAGTCTGACAATGTCGAACAACAATCTGAGACTCTTCTGAATGCTGTAATTGTATGAAACTACACATTTATGGCACCTGAATGTTTGCTTATATGTGTCTGTAGAAAGTGGAGGGAAGGGTAGCATCTGATCAGGAGCTGAAACTCACAGAGCTGCTGAGATACTATATGAGGGACATCCAGGCAGCTAAGGTAAGATATTTGCCAACCTCATAGAAAATGCTTTACTTTACATATGTCAACTGAGATTTCATTGCCTTGCAGATATATCCATTAAACCACTGTAAATTTTGTCATGGTATTCCCTCATACTACAAAGAGTTTCACTGAGCTTTTGTGGGGAAAAAATGGGGAAGACATGAAAAACTACTACAGACATGCATCATTATCCTTTCCATCATGCTAAACTATGTTTAAAATATTTCAGGACCTTCTGTACAGACGAGCCAGAGCATTAGTTGATTACGAGAACTCTAACAAGGCCTTGGATAAAGCCAGACTTAAGGGCAAGGATGTTGCCCAAGCAGAGGAACACCAGCGGCAGTGCCTACAGAAATTTGACAAGCTCTCAGAATCTGCTAAAAAAGGTTTGTCTATTGTTTTGTTACACACACAGACTTATTCTGTGCTTTTTTTCTTTAATCATAAAACATTTGACTTTCTTCTGTACAACCGTTGCAGAACTCACCAGCTTCAAGGGCAGACGAGTTGTTGCCTTCAAGAAAAATCTCATAGAAATGGCTGAGCTTGAGATAAAACATGCTAAGGTAGGCAGCATCGTCTTTTTCTTTCCCTTTGACTCGCTTTTTGTAGTCATAACATCATGCTTCAGAATATAGCACTATAAACAGTCATTGACATCCCTGGTAATTTGGGTGATGCCATAAAATCAGTTAAACATTTACAGCGGCAGCATGAGCCTAAATTAAAATTGCGTTTGCATAGCTAGAACATGACATAATGTTAAGAAAGTCTAAAGCTGCCTGAATATGTTGACCCAGCAAATCTGTTTTTTGTTTCTTCTTTTTTTTTATGAAGCATATTACTGCAAATGTTAAGGTGTGTACAGGATTGTTTTCCCAATACATTTGGGTTATATTTTACTGCTGTGTAGAGTCATAATTTAGAAACTGAATAAAAATCATTAGATTAACCACGTGTTTGCTTTTATTTCCACAGAACAATGTGGCTCTTTTGCAAGGATGCGTTGACGTCCTCAAGGGCAACTGACGCGTTAAAGTATTAATGTCCCAGCACCACCAAGTGACCAATCCTTGCAAATGGAAACCCAACATTCCCAGGATGTTTCATCGAAATGATGCCAGGCACGTCTCTGCTCTACCCTGGGTCTGAAGCGACTTAAAATCCCTGTAAGATACGCTGTATCTACTAAGCACAATGTCCTCATGTTTACAGAGTCCCTGTCCCCTGCTCTTTTGTCCACCTGTCTTATTTAATGTAGAGCTCTAGCTCAGTGTGAATGTCTCCTAAAAGTAAGGTTGCCATCATTAAGGCCTTCCATAAATATGCAGCATCTCTTAATTTTATGCACTTAGTTTTTGTTTAGCTTTTTTGGTCCTTCTTTTCCTTAAACACATTTTTGCCACCATTCTGACCCAAGCCTTCCTCTTCATTTATGCTTTTAGATAACTTTAAAAACAAGGTTACACTGTTTGTTTTTCATCATTCATGTACTTTTGGGATTTTTGTTTAGATTTTTTTTTTTCTAATGCAACTCTTCTATAAGTGGAAAAAAGTGTCTGCATCCTGCATTACATATATAAAAAAAAAGTCATGACTGAATTTATAAAAAAAAAAATAGAAATTAAAATGTTTTTTGTATGTTAAAAATTATTTCCACACCTGGTCCTTGTTTCATAGAGAACATGGCTCAAATTCAACTTAATTGTATAAATAAGATATTGAAACTAATTCTAAAGCAAATATCATAAACAAACATTAATAGGCAATCAGAGGACATTAACATCACCATGCTCCCCCACTATTATTCATCTTGAACATCTTTGATCTGTTTATTCTGTATTTTGGACAATGTAATGTGTTACTTTACTCATCCCGGTTGTTATTATTAGACTCACAAAATAAATCAGGTAAAAAAAAAACTGTTTACTTTAAATTAAAAAATATGCACCTAAAAGATGGAAAAAGGCTCTTCACAATCCTGCTCTAGCTTGTTGGAGGGTTACAATGAATCATATTTTTTTTTGTTAAAAAATGGAATGTATTTCTAAAGATTAAAACTGTTCACAATCTTTTTCATACTACCCTTTCTTACAGAAACAGCATTTTATGGATTTGTAATGGCATTGAATAAATTCTACTTTCATAAATATATATTTTTGTCATCGTTTCGATTTATTGTGGAGTTTTTCCTATCTTTTCATGACCCATTGGAAATTTATTAATGCATTTTAATCAATTAGAATAAGACGTTTTAAGGTTGTTGGTTTTTTTTTTTTATTCAATAGGGGAAACATAGATGGCATGCAGTGGTATATTTTTATTTATCTTAGCTTTGCTGATTTCGGCTTGCGTCAAATGAAATAATTTAAATCTTATTTCCATGAGATTAATTATGGGTTTGCAAAAAAGAAATAATGACCATCTGAAAAGCATATTTACATAATGTGTAGCATTTTTACTCAGTTTTTGGATGCAGCTCCTTTTGCCTAAATTGGCAGAATCATAGCATAAAGGTGCTCATCCTGGTGCACATCCTGGCTTGTTTGATGACAGATTTTTGCCTTTTTGCTGGCCTGCATCAATAATTGTCTCCTTTTTCCATAGTAACCCTATAAAATATATATGAACAACATTTTTTTATTTATTTTTTTATTCTTGCTATAACCACAGACCTGTGTCACGAAGCAGGATTACTGGGTTAGTGGGCCAACTACAGGTTTAACCCTGACTTGTGTGGTACCACAAAGCTGGATTCATTCTTTGAGTTGCAAGTTGATAACCATCTTCATGGTACTGCTGACCCTGATTGCCATTGTTATGCATTGGTTAAACTGGATAGACTGGAAGTAATCCGGTACGGGGCTTTATAATTAAAATTTGTTGTACAGGCCTCTGGTGCACAGTGGCCTTAATCAGGTTTCAAGAGTTTTTTCAGGGTTTTTTTTTTCTTCCACTCAACTTTCCATTGACATAGCCTAGTGTATAAGACTGCTGAACCACTGTCAGGAATTATTCTTAGTCATACAGCCTTTTTTATGGGGTTGCCTTGCTAATTGCTTCTCATTTACAACTGTTGTCTGTTCTTTTTGCACAACAGCAGATATAATTAATCCATAATCTTAACTGGATAGTTTGATTTCACAAACGTGATTGACTTGCATTGTGGAGTTGCATTGTGTTATCTAAGACAGTTCTCCAACCTACTCAAGTACCACTGCCCAGCATGTTTTAAAAGTCTATCTGTGCACACTTTATTTAGATGATTGCACAAGCTACTCAGTTGCCATCAAGTGCTGCAAAAGCTTGTTAATGATGTTTCTATAAGAGTCTGACGTAAGCAGTGAGAAAACACCTAAAACTTGCAGGGCAGAGGTACTTGAGAACCAGGAATATGAAAAACACTGGTCTAGATGTTCCTTTTATTCCTTTGAGATGTAAACAGTCATGGAAATAAAATATTAGACTGTGCTTTATTTTCTAAGTATACTACCTAAAGAATACAATTAACATGACAAGGGTGATAAAATATTTTTCCCCAAAACTCTATATATCTGTTGTTGGTATAAGATTTTTTTTTTCTTTTAACTTTTGAAAAAAACAAAACATTTTTTCTAAAATTAAAAGAAAAAAAACACTGATAACATACTATAGTATGAATTTAGGAGCTACAGAGATTGAGTTTCTGATTCCAACAGCAAAGATAATTGGATGCAAAAATATTTAGCAGAAAAAGAGTTGTTAAAAGCTCCACCAGGGGGCAGTATCTGTTTAACCAATGCATCCTGATCCCACTAAGTTTGACCATATGGGTCCTTTAAACACAGCTGTGTAGATGCGTGTGTTAAATCCATTGACCACCGTGAATCCCGGTATGGGACAGTGTGGTGTGTTAGGTAAACTTTAAGGAAATGCCAAGGATCTCTTGGGAATAATCAGCAAACTGCACTCTGCATATCCTCATTTATAGGCAGCTCATACACAGGCTATACACAAATGGGTTTTTTTTCTACAATATCTAACATCATAACTAGTCTAAATTCATTTTAGAATGTCAGTGTCATAAAATATCACAGTCGTAATTTCATGATTTTTTGGTCATAATTGAAGCCTAATGCTTTCAAACTCCAGCTCTATTGTGGTAAAATGCTGAATACAAGACTTAAAAACTTGTGACACTGTCTCATAGGGGCTAAATATATGTCCCTGATGGATTTGTCAATACTGATGACCCAAGTCTTGCAGTCACAGTGACCTCTAAGGCTTAGGTTTGATCATTTTGCTCATCGGATAACACCAGAGTCCCAAACCAATGACCAGACGACAAATTATCTGTGTAAACATTAGTTTGCCACATGTGGCCAGAGCAAACAGCATTTAAAAGCTCAACTATAAAGGGCCGTTAACATACGGATCCAAAGAGCAAGGCCTGCTTTTGTAACATCAGGATTAATCAGGTGCAGACATTAAATAGGGCAGTCTTTTTTAACTCTGGGATACAAAGTGTTTTATTTATAGAGATGTTTTCACCTGACTGTAGCTTCAGTCTTTAAAGTTTCTAAATTTAGCTTTTTCATGTTCATTTTTTGTTGCTGCTATTGTATTTACTTAAGACAAAAACGGTAGCAGCTAAGAAGAAAAAGACAGTGACTCTCTCTACCCATCTATTATATTGTATTTCTATTATTCTGCTATTTAATTTTGTTAAATGAAAAGTAGCCCAAGCTTGTTACTACCTGTGTCTGGGTCATGGTTAAGTGACCTTCAGTTTGATCTTATACTGGTAGGTTACAATAAAGTACTTGTCTGATGTCTAAGTGTTCCACAAAAAAAATAAAATAAAATTGATAGACACATGCTGAACTCACAGACACTATATATGAAAACCTTTTTAACAGAAACTGTGTCCGCTGGAGAACCTTTATTAGAGACGTTGCACCTACAGGACCACCTGAAGTGAATCCTCTATGTTTGCAATGTGAAACAGGATCAGATGTTTTATCTGATATTCAGTTAGTTTTTTCTTTTACTTTTCAAATCATCATTTCCATTGAATAAAAGCCAGGTTAAATAATATAATTTGCTATACAAAATTACGTCTATGAACTACAGACTCTTTTTGAACGATTTTGCATTTTCAAACAAACACAATCTTTAAGCTAATTGATTGAAGAAAGTTGTACAGTACATATTTAAAAGGGAAGGAAAATCTTTGTAAAATTTGTTTTAAGTGGAAATTTTAAAGTGTGCCATCCACAAGTGCTTAGCATTTAGTGAGACGTCTTTTGTTCCATTCACAGCTGCAAGTCATTTAGGGTATGTCTGTACCACCTTTGTACATCTAGAGACAGACATCTCTGCTTTTACCTTTCTGCAAATTACCTAAAACTCTGTCAGATTGAATGGAAAACCATCTGTAAACAACAATTTATAAGTCCTGACACTGATTCTTAAGATGATTTAGGTCTACTTTATCCCTTTCATTCTAAAACATAGATACGTTTTCAATGTCTAGTTAAATGTGTTGAATTCAATTCAGTTAATTTTCTATTCAGTTTATTTCTATAGCGCCAATTCACAACACATGTCATCTCAAGGCCATTTACAGTTCTCCAGATCATACAGTTAAATTAATTCAAAGTTTTCTTTCTAAGGAAAACCAGTTGATTGCATCGACTCATTGACTCGAATGCAATCCCTCACACTAAGCATGCTTGTAGTGACAGTGGAGAGGAAAATCTTCCTTTTAACAGGAAGAAACCTCCAGCAGAACCAGGCTCAGTGTGAGCGGCCATCTGCTCAGGCTGACTGGGGTTCAAAGAGACAGAAGCAGAGATACAAAAAAGCAACTGTAAAAGGTGGCCCCATCCAGGAAACACACAGCCAGGCAGACGAGCTCCGAGCCAACTCCCATGTCGGAGGATGAAGAGAGCACATCTAGCCAGTCACAGTCAGAAAAACAGGACTACACTGAAAAACAGGTAGATCTCGAACATCTATATGGCAGGTGTTCCAGTTTTCAACCACTGTATTCTCTAGGCCCAACAGGTCACGGTTACAACCATGACCATGATCATGATTAAGAACACAGTTCTATGCTGTGTTGTGTGTATATACACAG